CAAATTAAACCTGCTTCCTCTTCCTCCTCCTCCTCCTCAGAAACCACAGCTAATTAGAAGTATCCATGCTATGGAAGAGGAGACCTGCTGGACATTGGGAAACACAAATCATGGGTGAGCAAGACAGGGCCTGACTTGGAGATGGCCAAGGGCTAAGGAGCCGCACCCTGAACAGGTGCCACACCTGAGACCAGCACAGCGCTCTTACCAAGGCCCTTGGGGGGCTGGGGGTCCAGGCGCCTGCCCACCACCCAGAGGTACTGCCCCGTGGAGGCACAGGAGTGCTGAAAGAAAACACCAACTCTTCAAGAGAGATGAAGAACTACAGCACATGGCTGAAAAAACTGGAGGAGAGAGGAAAGTGCAGTGCACTCCACCAGGCTTCTCCCGAGGACCTGCTGTGTCCCTAGTGCTCAGTACTATGGAGGCTGAGCAAAAATAACAACTGACACAAGGTTCTTCCCCAAAAGAATCTTACAGAAAAATGTCCCAAGCATTACTAACACTTTAAGGCTGATCAGATAAGCACAGACAGGTAGCCAGCTTAGCAAAATGGAAGAAGCCTACATTTAGGCATTAGATCTAAGTTCAAATCCCAACTCTTCCCCTTAGTATTTAACCGACCTTGAGTGAGTTATTGAACCTCTCTGAGCCTCGGTCTTCTCCTCAGCATAACTAAGATAATAATACCTACAGTGCATTGTTGCTGGGAGGATTAAATAAGAAAGTATGTGCAGTGTGCCCAGCACTGTAGTGCTCTGTGTGAAGGCATGGCTGATATTAAGAAAGTCAAGTCAGAGGGGTTTGATCACTGGGAGGACTTTTGAGATTGAGAGAACTGCAGCTGGAAGACTCAGAGAAGGCCAAGGGGTGCCTTTCAGAGAGGAAGATTCAGGTGAGAGGAAGTGATGTGGAGGAAGGCTTGCTGGGAGCCCCTCGGTGTGAGCAGAGGGCCAGAAGCAAGTCGGGGGAGTCACCCTTCCCTGAGGGCCTGCCCCTGGGGTCAGGCAAAGCCCAGGCTCCAGACACTCCTTGATCTCCTAGATTCTAGGAATTCTGCAGAAACTCCCACTCTCTCTAGAGATTCTTTAGGGAGGCATTAATGTTCTTAAATATACAGGGATTGGTGAGAAGTCCCTTAAGATGCAAACAAAGGGTTAGTCATAAATAACGCTTGAGAGATGGGTTGGAGCAAATTGTGAAGGGCCTTCAGTGCCACTCTAAGGGGGGTTAAACTTGAGTCTTGAGGAGATGAGGTTTGAAGACCTGGGTGTGGTACTGCAGGGGTTCACACTGGTGGATGGCAGTCTAGAAGGTCGGTTACGGGCCTGCAGTGACGGCCCAAGTGGGAGCCAGGAGGCTGGGGGGAAGGAGAGGTGTTTGCCAGGTGAAGGGGTATGAATGAGCACTGTTACTAGTGCAATTTGGGGAGAAGGAGAATTTGGCTTTGATGCTGAGGAGCTGATGGAATTAGGAAACCTGGGAGGCAGGGAAGCAGGCCTAGCTGTCTAGACTTACACACACCAGGCCTAGAGTGAAAGGTGGTTGTTCATATGGGGGAGACGCCGAGCAGGCAGTTGGAAAGGTGTGCCAGAGCAGGAAGAGAGGCTGATGGTGGGAAGGCAGGTCTGGGTGTAGCTTCGTACAAGTCAGAGCTGGAAGTATGGCGTTAGAAAAAATCTCTAAGGTATAAAGTGCTGGAAGAGCAGGGCCAAGGAGATGTCCCTCAAGGCCAAAGAGAAATAAGGATCAGAGGAAGGGGACCAAGAAGATAAATCTCAAAGAAGAGAAGAGGGGAAAATTTCATGGTTGGGGTCAGCATGCCAGCAACTGCAGCTCTCTAGGGGGATGGAGAGAGGGCCGTCAGGTGTGGGTGATGGGACACTGGGGATCTCTTCAGGGCCACAAGCTGGGAAGCCAAGAACTGAGACTGAAGGGGCACACGGATGAAGTACTGAGCAGGGAGAGCCAGGGGAGGCCAGCATCCTAGATGACGGGCAGGAGAGGAGAGGCAGCTGAGGGGCTGAGCTGTCCTCTCCATGTCTGTGTCTCCCCCAGATTCATGTGCTGAAACCTGAGCCCCGAGGTGATGGTGTTAGGAGGTGATCAGCTCCTCATGGACGGGATTAGGGCCGTGGTAACAGAGGCCCCGGAGGGACCCCTTGCCCCTTGGGCCAAGTGAGGACACAAGGAGAAGTCTGTGACCTGAGGGAGGTCACCAGAACCTGGCCACGTCGGCCCCCCAAACTTGGGATTCCAGCCTCCAGAATATAAATTTCTGTGAGAAATGCATTTCTGTTGTTTATAAGCTTCCCAGTTTGTGATATTTTGTTCCAGTAGCCTGAACGGCTAAGACAGGGTGGTTTGGTGTGAGCAGGAAGTTTTCTTTCAGAGTGGGCATTTCATAGGTACAGGGCAAGGAGCCAGGGGAAAGGGTGAGCCCGAGATGAGAGAGAGAACCACACAGCACGAGTGGATGGGGCCGAGGGACTCACACAGGACAAGGAGACAAGGGAAAACGTCACCGAGGTCAGGCGCTGGCCAGCGGGGGCACTAAGCAGTGAGCTGCAGGAACTGTGGCCACAGCTGCACTATCCTCACAGCCGACCGCAGGGCTGATGAAGGGCTCCACTTACTTTCAGCTTCCACTTGTGAAGAATTTTACTCCGATGGTGTGGGTTGTGGGGCCTACCCCAGGCTGTTTCAAAACACTCTGTTGTCTCAAAAATAAGAATGAAAAGAAATAACAAGTGTTGGTGAGGATGTGGAGATAAGGGAACCCTCCTGTACTGTTGCTAGGAGTACAAATTGGGGCATACAACTATGAGAAGCAGTATGGAGTTTCCTAAGAAAACTAAAAGTAGAAATGCCATATGACCCAGTAAGTCCACTTTTAGGAATCTACCCAAAGAACACAAAATCTCTTATCTGAAAAATATATGCACCCCTATATTTATCGCTGCATTATTTACAATAGCTGAGATGTGGAAGCAACCAAAGTGTCCATCAATAGATGGATGGATAAAGAAGAGGTGCTATATATACACAGTGGAATATTATTCAGCCATAAAAAAGAAAGAAATCCTGCCATTTGCAACAACATGGTTGGACCTAGAGGATATTATGCTAAGTGAAATATGTCAGGCAGAGAACGACAAATGCATATGATTTCCCTTATAAGTGGAATGTTGAAACAAAACAGAACAAACAAAATAGCAATAGACTCGTAAACACTAAGAAGTGACTGGTGGTTACCATGCAGGAGGGTTTGGGGTGGGTGGATGAAAGAGGTGAAAGGGAAAAAGAAGCACAGAATCTCAATCATAGTATAAATCAGTCATGGGGATGAAAGTACAGCATAGAGAATACAGTCAGCAGTTCTGTAACATCTTTGTATGTTGACATGTAGTAACTACACTAGTAGGGGTAAGCTTCTAATAATGTAGAATCACTATGTTGTATACTTGAAACCAATATAATATTGTATATCAACTATACTTAAAAAATAAAAGAGTGGAAACAGGTGACTGCTTCTTCACAACACACCTGAAAGCGGGTATGATTGTGGCAGACACTCAGATTGTACCTGGGCTAAGGCCCAACATTCTAGATTTCCCAGGAGGTTAAAAGTCATATGCTGAGCGTACATATGATGAACTCACTTTTCCCAGCCAGTGTCTGGCTTTCTGATGTGAGGGAAGACAGTGCTGCCAGGTCACCTTTGAATGGTGGGCTCTTTTATCTAGATTTATGTTGGCAGAATTGTCTTCGTTTTGTGGATTCTGAGGGCCTCCAGAAACTCTGACCTTCCACTGCTCCTTTAAATGTTTATGTACTTTAATTTTTTTGTCCTAACTATATAAATACTTCATGAATACATTCCCATGGTTAAAATTTTTCAAACAAAATAGGTTTCATCTCCAGGTCCTTATCCAGTCCTTTCCTTACTCAGGGGGGAATATCCTTACATTTTCAAATATGCAATTATATTTTGTGGGATTTTTTTCTTTAAAAATTGCAGCTACTTCTATTCACCTTGCTTTTTAAACTTAACTACAGATCTTAGACATCTTTCCATATCAGTATATGCAAATCTACCAAAATTATTTTGAAATGATGCAGAGCACATTGTACTGTCTGAATGGATCATGGTTTATTTAACCACCCCTCTAATGATGGGAATGAAGGTTGTCCCTCATTTTATACTGTTATCAAAATACCAAACACCGCACTTTGGTCCTCCTCCTAGTACCCACTTAGAATGCTACCCTGCTGTTGGAAAGGTTCCCCTCCTTCCATCTCAGTCAATGGTTCAAAGACATTGTATATGCCACAATTTTATTCTATTTTTTTGAGTGCAGAGAGGAGTAAGGGAGAGGGGGAGGGTTGGGAGGAGGGTGTTAGGTATGTATCGTTTAGTGAGTAGCATGTTCAGAAGCAAGTAAGGAAGAAGGTACCACTTCTCAGACCTGTAACCAGGATGGTAGGTGGGTCATTGTCCCCTTTGAGATTTCAATGAAAATGATGTGATCCCCTTATAGGTGAGTGGTTGTCCAAGCCTACCTCTCAGTGTCTCTAGGGAGTCTTGGGAAGCTTCTGTTCACGAGGAACCTCTGACTCAAGCCCCTGCCTCTACTGCATTGGCTCTTTCTGTGGATCAGCTCACCACTGGGAGGGTGCTGTCCCTTTTCCCTACTGGGCTATTCACACAGGCGCTCCTGGCAAAACAGATTTCAAGGTAAACCCATTCTAACAATATCTTAGGTCTTAGTACCGGTTGGTGGTGGGCATCCTTGACTACCTTTGTCCCTGGAATTTTTCAATGGCCACCAATCTCCAGTCAGTTACTCAGTACTCTCTCCCTTTCCACCACTTCCTCTCCTTTTACCTTCTAATGCTGAGCAGTTGATCCATTTCATTGTTTCTGTGTGTTCTGTAGGGAAGATGCCCTTTGTACTCTCTTTCCAAAGAAAAGTCTTGGGAAATTATTTACAAAACAAGAACTTTCCTATCCTTAAGAGGAGCTCTGATGCCAGTGATTAAGGTAATATTTTTCACTCCTTAAATAGATAGCTGTTGTCTTAATTCTTCCTTGATATGAAGTGGCGCACACCCCAGTTCACACTGTAGGTTCTCCAAAGACTGCTCATTGAGAGACGAGACTGACAGTTTGATTTGGGAGTAAGGGAAAGGGGGTGGGTGGAATTCCATAGGTACATCCCATCCTGAAATAATTTTTTTAAGAAAAAACAGTTCATTTTAGATGACTTCTTAGAACATGAACTACTTCTCTCATCCTAAGGTAACAAGAGGCTGGACCCAAAAATTACCTCCGTGCCTTGGGTCAGCCGATACCGGGACCACCACCAAGTCCTGCCCAGCCTCCTCTGAAAAGCCTGCAAGGTAAATGCTCTTTGGAATTTGTTGGCTGACCTTCTTTTTAAGGTAAGATTTTGTTTCCATCTGTGAACTGAGTCCTAAGGACTGGAATGGCATAAACAGATAGAAATAAAGTAGTGAATAAACTTTAAAACTTCGGGGGAATGCCAGGAAATTGTGCTGAACTTAATTCCTCAGGAGAAGAAAAATTATTCTATAGCAAAAGCCACAACCATCTTGATTATATAGCTAGAAAACAATGGATTCCTCATTTTCATTAAAATAAAATATGTATCTAATTTTTAGAAATAAAACCACCTATAAACAAATGTGATGCATACACCCACATCCACAGATACACACACATACACACGCTTGCCTTACAACTCCTTTTTGTCTAAATCGGCCTGAGTGTTTTTCAAAACCTGTTCTCTCCCAGTGGAAGTCTTCCCTGATCAATTTTAACATTCAGTGATTTTTTTTTAAAGGTAAGATCAATACAAATAATCTCTCTAACATACACACAACAGAGATTGTGAAGAGTTTGCTGATTTGGTCCCAAGGGTTCTACCCACACAAACTTTCTACCCTTGTACTGCTGTGGGGACCCGGGGGCAGTGCTTAGGAGGGCGGCAAGGCAGACCTTGAAGAAGGGAGATGACTCTTTGGAAACGATCTACCTGGGTGAATTGTATATGGAAAATGATTTTTATAAGTCAGTGTCTTTTTTTTTTTCCTTTGTTTGTGAATTCTCCACCATGGGAATCTTGAATCTTGGTGGGAGCGTGCATCAGTCAGATGAAGTTAAGCAATGCCCTGGTAACAAAGGACACTCCGTCCTCGCCTGCCCAATCTTAGTGGTTTACGAAGGTTAATTCCTGCTGATGCTGCATGTCCGTCATGGGCTGGCTGTGGCTCTGCCCCACATCCCCTTCACTTCCTATACCCAGGCTGCCGCAGCAGCCCCAAGGGAAAGTACAGCAAAGCACACGCTGGCTCTGAAGCCTTCTACTTGGAAGTGATCCACACCATTTCTGCTCATATTTCACTGGCCAAAACAAACAACACAAATCAAGTCTGCTGTCAAAGAGGGAAGTATAATCCTTCCCTCAGGGAGGGGCAGCAACTATTTGGGGGCAAAAGTATAGTTATTGTAGGCAGAACCTTCCTTTCCACTGTAAAGAAAATACAACATTACCAGGGTCGACCTGAGACTGGCCAGTCAGGTTCACCCACTTGGACTCACTGAACTGAAAGCAGGCTGTGCAACAGGGCAATGGAGAGAGCACAGCACTCTGGGTTTACAGTGAGCAGCAGTGTCCGCTGCAGTCCGCGGGGCCGGCAACATCACCCAGGTCCTCGCTGGACTAGTTCTGTGATACGATCTCGGTATTTGCCTATTATTTTAGCCTGTCGCTTTCCTGTCTGCTTCTTGGACTTAGTGATCCAGTCTTCCTAGCAATTTCGCGAGCTATCCAGTAGTGACCAATATAATTTTTCTATATAAACAAGTCAAAGTCATTCTCTGTTGCTTTCAATTAAGAACCTGATTTATATACTAATACTTTCAGCTGACCCAAACATCTCCTCAATTTGATTTCTGATCACCAGGTGATTGTTGTGCCAGGGCCCTGTTACCCGTACACAGATAAAAGTCTGGGAAAGTATCGGGCAATTCACACCAAAAGATGTTAGATAGTAAATCCTAAAGGGAATCCGTTCAGTCCAGGGTTCTGTGTTCTCATTAGATTGAGAGGCACTAGATATCAAATAAATTAATGTGGGAAAGACTGTTAGCAGGTGGGGCCCTGGGTAATATGAGGAAGTATGAAAAAAAGCAGCGAGGTTTCATCAGGTAACCAGATGTTCTAATTTGCTCAGGACAGTCCCAGGCTACTATTCCCATAGATCTGTTAATGCCTATCAGTTATTTTTAGTGACCTCATTCACTCTAAAATACTCTAAAATATGTCCTAGCTCAGATAATACGTTACATGGCCACTCAGGCTCTGACAGAAATGGTCCTGGACCAGAGTCACAAGATGTGCATTTTGGTCATAGACCAGCACTAATGTGCGGGGTGGTCGGGAACCTTTCTGCACCTCGGCAGCCTCATCTGGAATGTCAGCGATTTCATTCAGGTCAGTGGTTGGCAAACTGTGTTCTAGTTTTCATGACAGGATTCCAAAGTCCACAGCAGGGCAGGAAGGAGGATACCAAATGGGGGACGCTCTGCCACTCCCAGAGCCTCTGCTTCTGTTTATTTTATGCCATGGGGTTGCACCTGACATTCTGTTTGGAAAAAGTGTTCTTATGATAAGAAATAAACACACACACACACACACACACACACACACACACACACACACACACGAAAAATAATTGGCCTGGATAATCCTCAGACACAGGAAGCAAGATTCCTAAAACGCTCTACTGCTGTAACTTCCATATCCTGGAGCATGAGTTGGTCACGAAAGACAGGGTGTCATTCATTAAGGGGGAGGTTCTTCACATCTCCACTCTTTCCTTCATTTTAAAGTGACAAATGCCAAACTCCTCATTCTGTCAGTTAACAAGTTTCACAAAGTGATGCTGAGATTTACTTATTTATTTAAAAAAACAACCCACTTGCTTTCCTGCCTCTAATCTGTCCCCCACACATCTTGAGCGTCCCTGTTCGCTCTGACTCAGCCCCTGGGTCCCTAGTCCACTCTGGGCAATCCTTAGAGTTCAGCCCAAGTCCCAGCTCTCCCGTGCGCCTTCCCTCCGCCTCTGCAGCCCTCCGAGGTGACTTCCGCCCTTCATGTGAGCTTCCACACCTCTTTCGCAGTCAGTGTATACTTCTTTGCACACAATTGTCTTCCAGCTCTAAACTGACCTTTTTCGATTCTGCTCTGGGACACCGAGGCTAGAACTCTGCCAACACCACTTCTTGCCAATTGGCTCCCTGGGGCTTGTTGCCAAAAGTGATTAATTCCAGAGAGATTAGAAGGCACGAGGTAGAGAGAAAGGACTTGCTCCTTCCTGCATCCCTGCTATTACTGTCAAAGTCGCCCCAGGCAGTGGAGGTTGGTTCTGACCTCTGACTTTTTCCCTTCCCCAGAACCAGCTTTATGGAACCATCTCAGAGGCAGCACAGTGGCGGGGCAATGCCGTCTCCACAGAGATGGGGATCCCGGGGCTTCCGGCCCCTCCCTCAGGCTCCCGAGAGAAGAGGCCCTACTGAGCCTCAGCTCCGTGGGCGGCAGCCTGCGCTCCTGAGGTTCCAGGAGTGGCGCCTCTTTCTCAGGGATCGAAGCCCAGTTCGACAGGGCCTCCCTTCTGGTCTCCCTTGGTCGCCATACCCCACCCCCAACCCAAACCCTAGCAACCAATTATGTGTTGGCCGCCGCCTTTTTACCTTCCGGAGAATTCCATATGAATAGAATCATACAGGGTGTAACCTCCTGCACAGTTGTCTTACGTCTGTCATCTGCATACATTGAAAACACCATCAGACAATGTTATGTTTTGTTGCTTTCAAACCATCGAAAAATTAACAGGAGAAAAATAATGTGTTATATTTGCCCATGTAGTCACTTATCATTTCTCAAGGTTCCAACTTTCTTCTTGGTATCATTTCCCTTCTTTCTAAAGAATTTCCTTTAGCTGCTCTTGGAACATGTATGCTGGGGACAAAAAGAGAATTCCTTCATCTGAGAATGTCTTTAATTTACTTCATTCCTTAAGAATATTTTTCCTAGGAAAAAAGAATATTTATTCCTTAAGAATAAAACTCCTGTTTTAGAACTTGGAGCTGGCAGTTCCTTTCTTTCAGCACTTTTACCACAGTTCCACTTCCTTTGGCTTTCTTGGCTTCTGATGAAAAAACACAGCTACTCCAATTGTTCTCTACATAATGCATCATTTTTCTCAGGGATTTTCTTTTAGAGATTTTTCTTCCTTATCTGTAGAACCCAACAAGTTGATCCTCTGTGCCTGGGTGTGTGCATTTCTTTGGTTTTATCCTGTTTGTTTTACTGAACCTCTTGAATCTGTAGGTTTGTGTCTTTTGTCAAATGTAGGAAATTTTTAGCCATTAGTTTTTCAAATACGTTTTCTGCACAGAACTCTTTCTCCTCTAGTTCTGGGCCTCCAGTAACACACATTAGATGTTCTGTTAATCCCACAGATCCCTGAGGCTCTGTTTAATTTCTTTCTTTCTGTTGTTCAGATTGGGTAATTTCTGTTGACCTGTCTTCAAGTTCACCAACTTTTCTCTATCATCCTCATTCTGCTGTTGAACTGGTCCAGTGAATTTTTCATTTTAAGTTATTTTTCAGTCCTAAAAGTACCATTTGGTTTTTTATATCCTCTGTTTCCTACATGACACCTTCTAGCTTTCCATTCCTTTCAGGAATATTTTCCCTTATTGCTGGAGCATTTAAATAATGCTTGTTCTTTGGTCATTTTTGGGTTACAAGACTTTATCATCTTGATAATGGTATCTATTGATTGTCTTCTCCCATGTGAAAGATTTTCATGGTTCTTCATAGGGTGAAAAAGTTGGGATTGTATCCTGACCATATCTTACCTCTTTTGCTATAGTTTGTTGAAAGTAAGTCCATGTCACACTCAAGGACATGGTATACACCAGGACATGAAAACTGGTACATAAGGATCATTGGGGACCATTTAGAAGTCTGCCTATTGCCTTCTGGTGGAAGGAACCCAAGTTCCCATCCACAGATAAATGGATATACAAAATGTGCCATACACACACAAATACGCAATAGAATCTTATTCAGTCTTAAAAAGGAAGGAAATTCTGACACATGCTGCAACATGGATGAACCTTGAGAACACTGTGCTGTGTGACTGTGGGAAATAAGCCAGTCAGAAGAGGACAAATATTATATGATTCTGCTTAGATGAGTTACCTAAGTAGTGTTGTTCATAGAGACAAAGTAGAAAAGTAGAATGCAGTGAAAGTGGGGTGTGGAGAATTAATGTATAGTGGGGACAGAATTTCCATTGAGGAAGATGAAAAGTTCTGGAGATGGATGGTGGTGATGGTTGCACGATAATGTGAGTGTACTTAATATCACAGAACTGTACACTTAAAAATGATCAAAATGGTACATTTTTGTTTTGTATACTTTACCATAAAACAACAAAAGGTCTGCCTACCATGCATGTTATGAGATTCTGGATCTTGTTTAAATCCTATGGAGAATGCAATATACCTTTAACGGGCATTCAACCTAAGTGAGTACGGGCTGCAAGTTCCAACCAGCCTTCTGTGTGGGTCTTTGTTCCCATGTCAGTTAGTTTTCAAAACCCTTGAAGCACTATTTGGATTAGTCCAACGTGTGCACCACCCAGTACCTAGTCTATGCTGTGTAAGGTCAAATTCATGCACACGCACTTCAGGGGTAAGTCAGGAATTCATCGTTTTCCCAGGGACCTCCTTCTCCATATCCTCTCTGGAACTTCCCAGCATCACCTCTTCAGTCTCTGGCCAGAAATCCTGGGCTCTACAGTTCACCTCCAGGACCAAGCAGTGGAAGGAGAGATGGATGCAAAAGGCAAAGAGGTTTCCTCACCCTCAGGACAGCAGCTCCTCCCAGCGGGTTGGATGGCTTCCTGTCCACAGCGTATGGGCTCCTGCGTCCCATTGCAGCTGCTGCTCCTCTAGCCACAGATTGGTTGGGTTTGAGACAGGCCTGAGAAAATGCAGGAGAAGAAAGATTAGGGAATTTCTCCCACTCTTGCCAAGCATTTGCTGTTTTCTTCCCCCCTCCTTGACTAGAAGGCCCTGGAGACCTCTGTCTAGCCCTGAGGCCCACTCATGGGTTTTGGATTTCAGTAAGTTCAGGCCAGCCAGGACATCCTGCAGGTAAACAAATGGCAAAGTAAGCCCATTTTGGTGGTACTTTCTTTCTCAAAGCTTTGTTTACTATTTGCTTTTCAGAGCCCTGAAAGAGCTGATCCAGGCCTTCTCTCCAGACATGTCTGCCACCTCCTCCTGAGGCCAACTCGGACTTCTGCATTTAACAAAGGGCTCCATCCACCCACCCACACCCATTCCTTAGCCTCACACCCATTTATTCTGTTAATGTGCACTAGTCACCTACTAAGTACTACAAGCTAGGAGGGCTCCAGAATCAGCCCATCTTCAAGGTGTAGTTTAGTGTAGAACACCGTTCCCACCTGAGATGCAGCTTCCTGGATTTCACCACTGTCCCGGCTTACCCCCCCGCTCTGTTCACATAGATGTATGAAAAGTGAGTGGGCTTTGTTTCCTCCTTGGAAAGGTAGCCTTCATGTGAGGCTGAAACATCGTCACACATGAGCTCTGTGGGTGAGGCTCAGGGCTTCAAGAATTGTATTTTCAAACACAGGTTTGTGGTTTTGGAAAGAATGGAGAGCATAAAGTACAACATCTTGCAAGATTACTTTCTGCTGCAGACCAATTGATACAACATCTGAAAATAATCAAATAAGTGTCTTGTTTTTAGTCTGCAAATGACTTTATGAAACTTTGGAAGGAAATTCTTCACTTAAAAAAATTAGAAAAATTGAAATCGAGATCACAGGGAAGAGCAAAGATGGGGAATTACGGGAGTGCTTTGAATTGTTAATAGCATTTATATTTATAAAAACGAATCTCTCTAAAAACCTGGAAGAGGCCTAATAATTTAAAATCACCTCACATGGCACATGCCCCAAACCCAGATAACCTCCAAATTCAATAGCTCCTGACCATTTTTCGGAGCATTCCAAAAACTTAAAGTTGCTACACGATGCACAGAACTCTGGTTTAAAATTATTGAAGACTTTGATTTTTTTTCCCCCTATAAGCTCTTACATTTGGAATGAAGTCAAGGTACAGTCTAACCTCAGAGGATCAAAATATATTGAACTTTTTTTTTTTTTAATGGTATCAGCCAAGAAAACAGAAACTGAACTGAACCTTATGATGAGAGAAAGAAGGGCAAAGAAAAGGCTGAAGGTGGCGTGTGTAAAAGCCTCAAAGCCGAAGGAGAGGCAGCTCCTGCAGAAGAAAAAGTCTGCTGACCAAGGTAAGTCAAGTGACGCAGGTTAGTGAGGATGATCCGAGGCAAATTAAATGAAACATCATTAAGATCCCAGGCTCAGATGAGGAGAGTCTAAAGTAGAGAGTCTCCTCTCTAGCGTCAGTGGTTAAGGGGTGACTTAGAGTTCCTACAGCAGTTTATTCATATACAAGTCAAGTGTTGCTAATACCAAGTGTGGATGACAGACAGTTATATTTTATATGTGAAGTTCTGGTTTCTAATGATGCATTGGAGCCTTATTTTTTACAGCTGTCCTTGTCTTAATCCTTTGCTTTTTTTCTCCCCGGGGTGGAATGGTTTCTAGTTACAGATCAGCATATTAAGCAGCATGTCACCCATCAGGCAGCACATGGCTTCTGATGGTGATGGCATTTGGGTCACCACTAGTTCTCTGGAAGGACGAATGCTCGTGGGAACAGCACAGTGAACTACTGCAGACGATGGAACACAGCAGCACAGGTTCAGGGCACACGCTAGAGATCTAACCAAGCGCCTTTTGTGAACAGCAGCTCAATGAGGATTCCTGCCATGCGGCAAAATGCTTGGAAAGTTACTATGCGCTGGCATCACTGGGTTTGGGGTCAGCATGCTGAAACCCGACTAATTATGTTCCTACCATGCCAACTTGGTGCAATTAGTCGAACATGATAATTTCTCTAAGCCATATGTTGATCTTTAGGGGAGGAAAGGCTTCATATGCCTGATGGCTCTGAGGTCTGACTGGCATGTCCCAGATTTGAGCAAATTTCTATAAATCAAGGTAATACACCCAGCAGTCCAAGAGGAGGTAGGCTGGCCAGCCTGGAGAGAAGCAGAACCTGTAGAGCAGGGCTGTGTACTTGTTGACTGTCGGTTTTCTTCTTTCTTAGTGAGGAAGGTTGTAGAGAAAGGTCAAGGGAGCTCCTCTGTGTGTATGGCTATCCCTCCTCTCTCCCCCCACCACAACATAAAATCAACGTAAGGACCTAGAACAGTAAGTTATGTTCCAGGGCTGTGTGGCCTCTATTCCCATTGGAGACCTATCAATGTGAACTAGCACTGTTGGGAAATCTCTTCAGCTAGCCCTGTCAATCAATACCTCTGTTCATTATATGTCTCTGATGAATATGGGTAATGATTGGGTGCTCGAGAGTCAGGTGACTAAAAATAACTGCGTCTTCTGAGGATTGATAGGTTCTCCCCCAGTGTTACTTCAGGCAATCCAATATTCTTAGCCACCCCTCCCGAGCCCCCAGCAAGATTCTCTCCCGTTTTCATTGATAGATCAGCTTTATTCTCAGAGAGCTTTATTAAATTAGTGACACTTAATCTAGTGTCATGTTGTCAACTGATACAGGGCAAACCAGCAGCCAGCAAGCCTTCCAGTGGGCTTCAGACAGCAACTGGCCGCGGCCCCGGCGGGGCTGAGCCTTGTGCCAGAGCTGTCTTCGTGGGCGCCTCTTTGCTAAACAGGAGTGCTTCCACCATTTAATAACATTTAAAGCAACTTTTTTTTTTTTAAGAAGAAGGAGCTGTTTGAAGGAGAATTCTTGCCAATTACAGACGTGTTATGACAGATGAAAAGATCATAATTATGCTTGGATTCCCTGCAGGAGTGCGTTAACATATCCGTGACATTTAATAACCACATGTGCCTCAATGGAGGTTGGCTTCTCCAAAGTTGTTTAACCTTTCATTTCTTCACCCTCACCCCAAAACCCACATATGGGTGCTCAAAGGAAATCCCGGGAGGGAGACCCCATGATGGCTCGTGGCTGGCCCCCCTGCTGCCTCAGGAGGGATGCTCAGTCAGTGGTCTCTAAAACCGGGTGGCCCCAGCTCTTCACTGTGGGCCTGACAACAGCCAGATGGGCATGCAGTCTATCCAGCCCCTTGCGGGCCAGAGATCCGAGGGTCAGGGGGCTGGTGGAGCGTGTGGGAGCTCATTCCCCTGGTGACAGGCTGAGGGAAATTAGTAGTATTGGTGGGACAAGCCAGGGAGGCTAATTGAGGGGTGGAAGAGAGAAAATACTAAATTGGAGACTCCAGTGAAAGTTACAGTTTTGGTTAGCTTAATTTTTGGCTGCGATTGGTGTAAGGTGGGGAGGCACTATCAAACAGTGCAAGTCAAAAGCATTCTTTATATGCTTCTTCTCATTGTCCCTCAAGCAGTACGACAAGGGGAAATGTCACTGGCTATGATATCTTTCCATCTGCTAGTTTTATGTCTAGATTGTAACAAGCACAATCTGCAGAAAACCACTGCTAAGGGAATATACAGAGAAACACAAGCATTTAGACTGAAAAAATGTATAGTCATCATCCTGTTGGCTGCTGTCCACAAATTTCAGAGGGCGGGGAGGCAGAAAATATATTTGTAGAAAGCTAAGTTGGGAAGGTACCTGAGGTCTTCTTTTCCTCAAAAGAGCTTGGGCAAAGGGCTTTGGGGAAAAGGAATTCTGGAGAGACACAGAAAAGTAATCCCCAAAGGGCCAGCTTTGGTGAGGAAAGACTCAGGTCATGGTTTGCTGGGTTCCCCATCGGGACCGGCTAGGATCTTTGTAGCTCTGTCTCAGCTGTGCTGTCTGAGAGAAGTTTGATCTTCCTAAGAAGTGTGTTAAATAAGATCCGGATTCAGTCTAAACAGCAGCTCGACTCTGAGTTATCCAGCCAGTGTGCTTTTAAACAGGATGAGTGACAATGTGAGCTAAAGTGCTACTAGGTGTATTTTGTAAAGGTCTCGGAGTTTGCTGAGGTTTCTTCAAATCAAGAAAGCAGGAAGAGATCAGTGACTGATAAATCTTTAATATAAAAATTGTACAAGAATTTTGATACAAATTACAAGAGGTATTTGGACAAAATATGAATAAAATTCCATTTACATCCCCCAAACCCTTACGCATTTTATGCAAAAGACATATTGTAGACAGTTATAGTACAGAAAATACAACAAAAGGAAATAGCAAATAAAACATGTTAATTCCCTTAGGCTACTAGTAAAAACAAACCAGAAGGCAAAACAAAACAAAACAAAACAAAACCCAAACCCTTGTTCAAGGTACATACAGTATTTATGAAGCCACCAACATCACGATTATTAGCTCAGGATGATGCAAGCTGTCCCTGTCCCTTGGTGCAGCTCCCGTTTGTAGTACAGACTTTGGTTCTGTGACTGGCTCGGCGGAGGAGACTGGTTTGATGCAGATGGAAACAAACTAAATGACAAAAAGCATAAACCCCTAAACTTGGGGGCAGGGAGAGGACATATCTTGGTGAAAAATTCCTTTTCCTCAAGATATTTCATTTCCCTTTGGCCACTTTTGCTGTCAAATATGCAGGTTGAGTCAAATGTTTTTGATACTAAGACACACCAGTGGTTTGGGGTGGATAAGAAAATTATGTGCTCTCCCAGCTACGGGAGGGATCTCGCTAGTTCTAAAAGGACTAGTCTGTGATCAGGCATGGAGAACAGAGAGCTTTCTCCCCCAGAGCTCCAGCTTACCTCCACCTTTGAAGGAAGGCCCAGGTGGCTTCAGACCAATGTCTTCTCCTGGTTTCTCAGCCTCCCTCATGTACTCAGATTTAGCGATCCTGCACTTTTCATACTGACACTGGTAGGGAAATGGTAAGATTTCTCTGCAAGGCAGCGGAACCAAAGTTTGCACAGGCAAGTGAGTGTGCCATATGTTATAAATCTTAGATAGTTGGATCAGGTTAATATATAATACTGGAACATCTCATTCACTTAATTCACCTTATGTAAACCCTGGTCAGGGTAGAACACAGAAATGTTTCCAAAGTGATCAGAATCAGGATGAAGGAGGGAGGAGTGTTCTATCTTCCACTTCGGAAAATACATTTTTTTAAGGGGCGGGGGGCAGGTGAGATCAGAAGAGTAAAGAGCAGGAGTGGAAAGATAATGGAGAAGTCGGGGAGATTAAGATAGGCAATGAGAGCAATGCATTACTCTGTACAAAGACATGCAAAAACGCTCCAAATTGAGTATTAGATGAAAAAAGATAAACAATCAACCTTGGTTTATACATCTCAAGTGAACCTATTGACTCAGCACATTGTCTGGAAGTACAGGAGCATCACACCTCATGAACCAATGCTTTCACGGCCCAGATTCACAGGTGGGGCAGGCTGCTGGTCTCCGGCCCAAAAGGCAGGCAGCAGGGCTCCTGCTGACCCTGGGCCAGGGCCAGTCACCTTGCAGGGCCACCACCGGGAGGGCTGGGGTGTTCTTCCCCTCGTTTGGAAAACATGTGCAGGACCAGGTGAGCAGAACTCTCACACACCCAGGGGCTCCCCAGAGCCACCTCTCAGTCCTTGCATTCCAGAACAGAAGTGGGCAGAGCCGGTTAATAATGGATAGATTTGCCATCTTCATTGTGCATTATTTTGACATCACATTTGGCAACACAAAGCCTTATAAAGTCTCAGAATAACACTTAGATACTCTCTGTCATCAAGAAATATATTTTAATACTATCTACTTCTCTCCTTTTTTGTTAAAATACTGTTTTCTGCTCTTCCTTCCCTTCGAAAGATTCTTCTTTTTTAAAAAAATGAAGTTTAAAAAAGCATTAAGAAAATTAGAAATGTCCTTAAACATCCCTGTTATTTCAAGGAGGGAAAACGTAATGTTAATTAGCAGAATCTGTGCAATTTTGGCAACAGTTTTAAAGGAGATCCTAAGATGTTTGATAAATGATTATAATATATATGTACTGGGGGAACTTATAAAACCTAAGGCTTTTTTTAAAAACCAACTGCTTTTTCTCTGACCCCAAGAATCCTTTTGCTCTAAGTGTTGTTCTTTCCAGTCTTCAGACTGTTTAATGAAATTTCTTAGCACAGGTTTGTCAACATAGACCTGATAAATTGTCTATCTCTAAAACTGCTGCTTTTCTTTCTCAAAGTTCACATCAAAAATTACATTTGCATGTATGATTTGGTTGATGAGTATTTTGAAATGTGACTGTTCATAGCAGGGGTAACACCTGTCAGATCTGCCGTCGGAGGTTGGAAGTTTCCTAAGTAACATGTACAAACAGACCCTGCACTTCATTTAGTCACTAGCCAGTCACTTTTCAACCATTATTTAAATAATTCAATATATAAACATAGCAGCCAATACCTACATGTTATTTGGGCTCAAGGTATCTTGGAATATAACGTTTTCATGTTTTCATCCTTTGTACCTTTTGTCCCCTTATCACTTGATTTTGTAAAGGTTACTGTATTTGTACTTAGTCAAATTCTCCCAAAGTGGAGAATGGATCTTTTACATATAGGATAGTCCCTGTTTTAGTGATTAAAGTAAAAAGCCTCAGGCCTTCTTTTCTTTCAGATTGTCAGTTCAGTTTAACAAAATGAAAGTTAATCTGTCATGTCTCACTGTGGATTTGAAGGTTGTCATTTTGAGATACCTGTGTACATTTAGACTAATAATTGGATGCCAAGGGTTAAAAACACACACACCTTTCTGACCACCATGCACAACCAATTCGTAACGTGCGCTGTTTGAAGGGGAGGAAACATATTTTAATGCTTTCCTTACAGAATATGGGGCGATCTATTCTGCTTAGGCCACTGACTTGTGAGAAATTTTGCTCTGATTCTAGGGCCACACCCAGTACTGTTAAAATGGATGGGCCTGGAACTGCAGTGCTTAAGTTTCCAAAGACACAAAGAATGCTGTTACAGCCAGGGTCTCTCTACTGACCCTTTAGGAAGTCATCTTGTTACTGTCCACTTAACAGCTGGAAAGGGTGCCTGGAGGCAGCTCTGGGCTTACAGAAGGCCTGGGTTAGTAGGTGAGTGGCTGTGTTGTGTGCTGGGAGGGGAAGGAGAGGGGGAACAGTGGCAGGGTGGGTACGGAGAGAGAGAGACTGATGGTGAATGTGTGTGTACATCAGGCAACTCGGTGGGAAAGCAGAGCCCTTGTACTCAATTTCCCCTTCACAAGGGATAAACAGGCAATTACGCATCCTTTTATATGTGATGGCCAAGTGCTGAACTGGAAAGCACACTATTAGTTTGTGTCCCTTCAGGGCCAGGGCAATAAGTAGCCAGGAGAGCTGGGGCTGAGGAGGAGAGGGTGTTGTCTGCTGTTAGTGTGACAGTCTTGTCAGTGGCATTCACATTACTGGAAGGTAATAAAGTGACAAGGAAGTTATTAGAAAGATATGAGGTGAAATTGAACTGAAGCTTCTTGCTGCTCAGCTCTGCTTTCCCCTTCCCTCTTTTGTCATGGTCCACTATTTGTTACAAACTGAGCCTTGTCTTGATACTCCATATAAAAAAAGATTTTTTTTCTTTGCCACTAAAGGTCAGATGAATTTACAACACTTTAGAGGAGAATAAAGATAGTTTTATGACAATAGTATGTTGCTTCAAAAATATACATAGCATTGTAATGAACAAATAATGCTGTTTCAATGTAATGTACTTGTAAAAATCCCTAGTTTTTCTGACCCTGTTATTAGGCATTTGAATTGTTCAACAACTGCCAGAAAGACAGTATTTGATATCCAGTTCTTGCCAAATGACCATAAACATATGCAAGATGTGGGGAAATGATGGAATGGAGGGACCCAGGAAGGATGGTTTTTGGGCAAGAGTGATGGCGTATTGATTCACTGCTCAGTTTTACAGCTGGATTTTCATAATGTGAATTGGAAGTTACTATGTAGGGTGAGCAACTCTCCATCTATAGGACATGATGGAAATGAATCTGGGGCATAGCAGTTATGGCCTTAATACTAATAACATGAGCAAGAAAGATTACCACACATGGTTTAGCTTTGAGGATAGATATGACAGCAGAAAAGTAACTTCCATGCTTCATGGGAAGGTCAGTGAGCTCACACTTCCATCGAGGACTTAGGCAAGTAGCATCATAATCACGGAGACAGGGCCAGGCAGAAGCAATGATGGAGAAAGCACAGACGCACGCTGACTGCCGTTCACTTCTATTCCACTCGGCACAGTTAGAGCTCGGTTGGCCACCAGCCTTTTCCACTGCCTAGGTAACCCATCACTTCTTCTGTTCCTGAAGGGAAGCCAGCCAGCATCACTTCCCACTCAAAAAAAAGGGGGAAAAAAACCCAAAAAACACCAGCTCCCCTTGCCAGCTCTGCTCACCCACATGGAGCCTTGCCGCTCCATGCGGCTGTCCCTGCATCTCCCCCTGGCCTCCACTGGGGGCCAGGGCCGAGCCGGCTTGGGGGAGCTCTGCAGGGTGCTTCGCCTGATATGCCCACCCACTGCCAGGCACAACTGCACCAGACCAACGGTTCTTTTGAAAACGCACTTCCAGTGCATTCCCTATTTTCTCTTCTAGTTACCCCAAACTCACCAACACTCTACTCAGTATCCCTTAGTTTGCTTTTGTTAAGACTGTGATTCCCTCTAGTCTTTCTGGCACCTGCCTTTTATTGACCTCCTTAGTCATTTAGACACCTCCCTTAAGAAACAGAATGAGAGGGAAAAAGCAAGATCCTGTTATTTAGGGAAGTATAAGTGACTTTTAAAAAAATGAAATGTTAATTTTAAAAGGAAGTTCTTAAGAAAAGGAGTGTGTCCATAGGATGAAAGTTTCTTCTGGATGATTTGTTTCTTTATGATAGCAGATGTAGGGTGTCTCATTACAGTTGAATTTTATTTATCCTGTCAGTCAATCTAAGCCAACAGTAACAGAACAAGTACAAGTTTAGGGCTGCTCAGGTCAACTGTTAGCAGTCAGCAGCACGTCCATCTCGATCTGGTTACTGGCTTCTTTATGCTTCAGTCACCAAGGGCCCCCCGGTTCTCTTTTGCTTGGTGCACATCTGGGGCATGAATATAGGTAAGGGGAACAAAAGATCATTTTTTATTTGGGAGAAACCTAGTGCATGGTTTCTCCCAAGTAAAATGAGCAAAATGCCTCTGGAACTGTCCCCTCCTGATGTAGTCAAAACTTTTTAAAGAAAAAAAAAATGTATACACTAATAAGGCTGTTAACCAGTTTAGTGCCTTTCTCCTCTTCCTGGAAGGGCCTGGAAATGCATGACCAAAGAAACCACACTACAAGGACAGTGGTACCAGGGCTAGAAACATGTTCAGAAAAGATGTTTGTCATATTGAGACGGAAAACATCAATACTTTTAAAACCTGAAAGGCATCAGGCTGAACTGGGCAGCTGGACAGACATCTGGACTGTGCTACCTTGGGGCGGCTTATTTCAACACAATTAACAGCAGAACAAAGAAGACCAAGCTTTTTATCACATTTTAAAAACCAAGTTACTTATTGCCTATCCTTTCTCTTGCTCCGTTGTCCCCTCCACAGCATGCAGATATTCCCTAAAGTGGACTATGCCTCTCTGATATTTACAAAGACATAGGTAAAAATGATCAAAACAGTTAAGTTCCGGGATCAGCTAATGAAAAAGCACATTAATACAACTGCCTAATTTTGTACCTGTGACAAAACTGGTTAAAATCAGTGGGTAAAAGCTAGTTGGGAAACCTACAACACTACTAATTTTCAGCCAGCATGGAATGGATGCAGCTAGAGAGAAACGTTTCACAATAGGAAGCTCCTATGAAAAGAATAAATGAGTAGAAATGGGCAAAGGTGAAGGGTTCAATGATTAAAATGATGATCTCTTTATCCTTCCTGTTTGCAAGTAAGCCTTGGGATCACCATCTTAACTAGATTTATAGTTAGATCAAAACACTGCACGCAGACACACACCCAAGAACAAGCACCACTTTGGGACAGAAGCATTGTACATTTCATGATTTTACATCGTATGTACCACTTCCATCCACAACCTGTCCCTTTTAAGAGAACAGGCTTTATATTGGAAAACATCGTTCACCTATTTAGAAGGCCGACCACCATACCATCGGGGCTCTTGAGCAGTAGTAGCAAATACGGGAGATACTTCAGAGGGTGCGTTGTCTGGGATTCATTGCCATTTCTCTGACAAAACGCAGGTGGGACATGTTCAGGTTTCCAAGCAAGGAAAATTCTACTTGAGAATCTCATTACTTCTGGACTTGTTTGAACTGGCTATCCACATTAGCCTGGTCTGTTGCAAGTACCAAACATTTGTTGTAAGCCTGGTTCATCTGCTGTGACCTGCTGACAGCTATGCAATTCACTCACTTAGGCTATTTGACCTTTTAGTTGACGTTAATTAAACAAACTAAACACTGATTCTGTACAAGAGGAGTTCTAATATCTCAACTAAGAGTGTAATGTTAAAAACTTGCTGAAATAAAAATGTGTTACTTTCATAAAACTAGGTGTTATTCAGTCTACCCACACTCCAAAAGCTAGTGTTTCTATATTCTTATTGGGCTACTAAAAATATGTTTCCCACCCTCTTTGCATTGAATTGGTTAAGAGGGCAACAGCGCAAACACAGAGAACGCTAAGAGGACCAAAATGTTTGCAAACAAACTTTCATTATTCTAGTTCAATCTTTCACAAACATACTGTACAGAGTCTTATATGGTATAAAACAAAGAAAACATCTTTGTCTATTCCACTTAACAACACCAAAATAAAGCAATTAAGACTTTGGGGAATTCAAAGGTAACAAGAAAACAAAAATGGTTATTACTAATTCCTCAGCTTTTTACCGTAAACATTTGTCATTTAACAGACATAGTGTTTGATATGGTTTCTTTTGTACTGCAAATACTTTTGGTCTTTCCTCACTGTAGAACAAGGAATTAAATGAACCCCATAGCATCTTCTGAAGGAGATGAAATGGTAAAGCTCCTAGACACATCTAGCTTATCTTTAAGAATCTATTGTTTCTGATATTTTCACAAATAAAAATACTGAATCCTCAACTTACTGATGCTTACTTTTGGAAACAATAAATACTGTGAGGTACAATAAATCCTACAGGAATAATAACAACAGAAACATATTAACAGTTTCCTTTGGCAAATTTAACGGAAGTGAATGCTGATGTGAACACAGAAAAAATAATTACAAAACATCATGAGAAATGGAAATGACATGAAAGGTTAAAACACAGGGGGCATTTCTAACTTTCAGACTGCTGAGAGAAATGTTTGAGGCCATTAACTACAGAAAAGAAATACATGCTCTTTAAATTCTTGTGTACTGTTTGACAAAGTATTCCTTGTTTATCTTTTTTTCCACTCTACTTAAAAAAAAAAAAGAAAAAGAAAAAAAAAAGGACAACAAAACACAGTCTGCGACGCACAGCCTAATAGTTTTGGCTGCAGACTGAACTTGAGTAAATATCATCATTTAGTCAGTATGTTGTGGTAGCTGAGGCTGCCGATGTGGTTAACCAGCTCAGGCAACATGTGTAAACATCGGAAACAAAACAAAACAAAAAAGGTTTGGAGCATCGTCTACCCCCCACCCTTTCTCACTCTCAATTGCTTGGTTTCAGGCTTACTTTACTTTCTCTCTGACAAACTGTGTGGGGAAACACAAAACACCGCAGAGTGAGAGATCCTATTTTCAACCCCCCTTCTTCTGGCTTTTCAGAACAGACTATAGCTCAATTAAAGTTCAGCATATGTCTTCAGAGCTTCCAAGTCCTGCTGCTGTTAAATGCCCTTTGATTTTGTCTATCGGAAAGGCCTGAATCATAGAACTTCTGCAGAACTTGCCACAAATCAGACAGCCGCACAACAGACCAACCCAGTTCAGACCTTTTCTTCCTTTTTAAAGTCTGGGTTAGGTCCTTGGAAATGAATGGTCAACACGTTTACTGTACTCAGCTTTGTCCCAAAGCTGAAGAATTTGGGCTTTTTGTATCCTGAAATATTATCCTGCCTCTATAGCATAAATACCTTGACTGTTTCACATCACATAATTTTGTTTTCCTTTTATGTAGCTTAACATATAAGCAAGGAGGATGCAATGTTGATTCTAATAACATTCGGCACTTGAAAGAATCACCAAGTGTTTTTTTTTTTTAAGCGGTTTTCTGGTGGCCGACAAATTGGCCTGTGGTTATGTTGAGTGACTAATTGTATTTTCTTTTCTGGAAACTTGTGCAAAGTTGGCAGTTTTGTGTTAACACTAATACTTTTGTTTGGCATTTGCGCCCTATACTGACCAGACCATTTTATACAAGTGAATTTTTTTTAAAAAGACCCTTACAGAAGTATGGCAATAGTTTAAGGATAAAAAAGAAGCATGGATATTACACATCCCCTTGTAGTGTATGAAAAAAAGTGCATGACTGGATTTATGTACTAGTACAGGACATTTAAAAAATCAGATCTGTGCTGTAAAGCATGCCAGCACCTCTTTATCACTATATCTAGCAGGTAGTAAAAACAAGACCATGTTTTTAAAAAAAATGTGCATTAATGCTAACATAAATGAACAGAGCTAGCCAGCAAACTAATTTTTTCCTGCATATCTAACAGCTGGATGTAACTGTAAAAATTAAACAAGAGTTAAACAACCATCAATACAACTGTTTTACATCATTGGCCTCTCAAGGCTAAATATTTACAGGTGAATCTGCCATGCTTTAATTGAAGACTCTCTCAAAACCTTTAAAGTTCACAAAAGACAACTATAAGAAGTTCCTTTTTTCTTTTCTCTCTTTTTTTTCCCTTTTATTATTTTTTTTTTGCAGGCAACAGTCATGGGTGCAACAAATTGTCTCTTTGGAGTGGACCAAGAATTATTTTTCTGTCAAAATTTGGGCTAGTTGCATACTTTATGTATGTGTGTGTATGTGTGTTTAAAGGGTATTTTGTTTTTACCTCCAAACTAAAGATCCCACCCCTTTCCCAAAACTATAAAGGAAAAAAAACAACTTCAAAAGCACCTAGTGTTTATCTTTTTATATCTAAAGAAAAGAAAATGTGCATGTGTGTGTATATATACGTAGACCCAGGGGCATACATGTATACACACACGCACGCACGCACACACACACACCTCCAGGTACACAAGCACACACTGACTATGGCAGTTCAAATATGTAGGCCATCTGGTGAGAGCTGGCATTTGTGGCGTCCATTCTGAGACTAATCTACTGAAGTGAAGGGCATGTTTTTGTGGAGATTAGGGTTCTGACTGTGCCGATTTCGGCTTCGCACAGAGGAGAACATCATGTTGCAACCGGGGACTTTGCACTTGTGCATTTCTCGCAAATGCACAGTTTTGTAGTGCACTCTCAGGGTCCCCTTGTTGCTGTACATTTTGTGGCAAATGTTGCACATGATCCCACCATGGCTCCCAGACAAGCTGTTGAACATCAGGGCTCCTGAAACATCAGCCCCTAGGCCTCCAGGGAGGACAGGAGCCTCGGCCTTGTGTGCCGACTCTCCACTGTCACTCGCCCCATCAATGTCGTCGAGAAGAATCCCCTCATCGCTGCCTGCGTCGGATTCCCGGGAGGAATGGATGCTGCTGCTGGACTGGAGGCTAGAGGTGGTGCTCAGGTCAAGGACCATGTAGTCCTCCACCATGCCTCTCCCATACCCATTCAGGTGGGAGTCTTCTGTCCCTGCAGGAGAGGAGGCGTCTTCCCTGACGTCGAGCCCCATGGGGTGCTGGGCACCATAGATCTTCATCAAAAATTCATCCCGGAGGTCCTTGCTAAGGGAGGGCTGCGAGGAGTCCAGGCCTATGTCATCAAGTTCTTTGGTCAACAGTTTACGGTGCAGATTTATGTTGGCACTGTGTCTAGGAAAACAAGAGGGAAGGGGGGTAGGTATACAGGGAGTGGGGAGGGGTGAGAAAAAGGAGAGCATTTTAAAATTGATTCAGCTTTCACTAGGCTTCAAATAAGCACATTCACTGCTAATTATACCACTATAAAAGCAAACATTTCCCTATATCAGGATTTGGGAATAAGTGGTGGTAGGGAGTGCAATAAGGGGAGCTTTTAATTAACATAATTTTTATAAGAGCAAATTTCTTCAATGGCGGGATGAATGCAAACCCATGCACCTTTTTCTCAGTGACTGTTCTCTTAGCTTTACTGTGCAGCAGCAGCTGCTGCAGGGAATCTCACAGCAGAGATTGTAGAATACACATTAAATAGGATAAAAGAAAGGAAACTTTCTGCTCATCTAAAACTGAGTAATTTGAATTTACCTAAAAACGTAACCCCAAAAGCCCCCTTTTCTTCTATAGCAAACACTTAAGGGGTATAGAAAGGGTACATTTGTAAAAAAGTAAATGGTCTAGATAATTCAGGTTTAACTTCAAAACATAATGAAATCTTCCCCCTAATGTTCCTGCACATGAAGTTTGCGGCAGAAAAATTTTAGCCTAATAGATCGGCAATTAAAAAATACACACTGTCTTTAATATAAATCCCCTTTCATCAAATAATTTGGGATCTCAGCTAACTACAATAGTAAATTACATTTATTTTCAGAAGCTGCTACATTTAAGAGCTGAAAATGTTTTCATCCAATAATTCAACTTTTAAAATCTAATTCTTTAAAATGAAAGCTGAAAAACAAATTGCTTTTATAAGTAAATCTCACCCACCCCTTAAAAAAAGTCACACTTAACAGAAAAAAACCCCAAAAGGGACAAAAAAATACAACAACAAAACAAACAAACAAAAAATACCACACAATAAATACAAAAAAAAAAAAATCAAGCTCTGTAATAATAACATACAGTCCCTCTGTTTTAACAACTGGAATCCGCACTTCTTAGACAAGCAAAACTTTTACTCACTGAGTGCTTTGCTTGTGCAAAAAAAGATAGGATTTGTGCCCAAGCATCCAAAGGGATGTCGTGGTTTACAAAGCCTGATGTGACTTTATGTATCTGAAAACATTGCCTTTCCATTTACCGCCCCCACCGCCCCCATTCATTGTTAAAGTGCCCTTCGGCATATACCTCTCTCCACTGCACAGGCTCACGGGTTCGGCAAAGACCTAAACTGGAGGCTACCCTTCCAAAAAGTACACCAATAAACAAATAGGCAGATGCATAAAAGCTTCTCTGTAATGGCAGAAGCTGTACATCTTGGAGAGGTAATTATGATTATAGAAATGGCCAGTAAAAAGTTCGCGAGATCTCCCGATTATAATTAAAAAGTATGGAAGACCAAAATGAGTCACTCTGCTTGGTGACAAACATGGCTACTATTTCTTGTAGATGGTTGAGAGGTATGTGCCTCAGAGACAAGAAAGATGGGAAAGACTTCTCCACCTTTCCACACAAGACAATATACAGCACTCTGGGTTGGAAGGGGCGAAGGGGCAATAGCCCTCTCCGTACTGCACTTAGGAAGGCTGAGCTTACCTTGTGATAATAAGATCAGCTTTCTAATCTTTTGCTAAATCGATCACAAAAGAAAGCAAGAATGATAGACAGAGAGAGAAAAAGAGAGAGAAAGAGAGAGAGAGAAAACAAATTCACATTCTAGACATCTGATTAAAAAAAACTTAAACAATAAATAGGGATTTTAAATGTTCTGATCACAAAATCATTTTGTCATACGCGATGATCTCATATGCTGTTTTGATGATTTTCAGATCAGCTGCATAATCCAAAAATCATAAGCCAAATTAAGATAAACCAAATTCACAGCATCATCCATAAATGAGTTCTACACAGATGCATGCAGTGCA